CGCGAGCGGTAGTATATATATATATATATATATATATATATATAATATCAAGCTCTTACAAGAAGTATTAGCGATCTAAACTACGGGACTACGGGGACATCTAATCCATTTGAACCAAAAGGAAAAATAGAAGAAAAAAAGGAGGGCATTCAATCCATTCCATTCAAGTAATTTATTTCTCGTCAATGTATGATATTACCCCATATGTAGATAAGGATCCCTACTCAAACCACCATGAACACTGGAAAAGAATCTACATGATATCATCCTCTCTCATCTCTCTCTCACTAATGTTGCCTAGTGTTGTTAAAGATCAGCTCAAAAGCATAATTCCAACATTTGTAACATGAAATTAGTCAACAATAAAAGCTACAAACCTCTCTCTCTCTCTCTCTCTTTTGTTTTAGAGAAGAGGGGTCATACCTTTAATTTCTAAAATTCTCTTTTTTTTGTCAAAATCTAAAGCTAATTTCTATCCTAGAGCATAATCCTTACCTAAATTCCAAACCTATGTTCCAAGTCTCATTTGAAATCAATATAGAAAGAAGAAAGGGTTCCAATATAAATTCCACATTGTTCATATTTTTATAGAAAGAAGCAAATATGGAAAGTCCTGTGGAGGGAAAATATCCTTGCCAAGTTAGATGATTATCTTGTTGACGAAAGGAATAGAGTTAGATATTGTCATCGTAAGCAATGAGTATCATGAAATACCTAATTAGAAGAAGGAAAAGTGTTTGGTGAGTCAACCGACTCACAATATTTTTTTTGNGGTCTCCTTACAAAATATATCTCAGAGATGTATTTTCAATTCAAAATTTTAGAGTTCAAGAATCTCAATCATGCCCATGATCTAAATTTTGAATTTTTCTTTTTCAAAAAATATAGATATTATTTTTTGAATTCCTTTCTTCACTGTCCATTTTAACTTTTAGTAGATATAACATTTATTGACATCCATCTTAGAGAGAGATATTAGATAGACAAGGGACCGCACTAGTAATAGGTGAGTCGGTTGACTCACCAAAACCGTGTCCTTTTAAAAATATTTAATTGCCACCTTCAGCACCATTTGAGAGCCTATATCTATGGAATAATATTGAGAATATTTGCACTTAGACTAAATCATAAAGCAATATGAATATCAAAATAAACAACTAAGGACCATCATAAGCTCAAGGAAATTCCATGAACAACAAAAAAATCGTTAGAGGCAATACATCACGGAAAAAAACTCAAAAAAAATTAATATTGTAATAATTAAAACAAAAAAAGAGGGAAATAATATGAATGATAGTAATATGAACAAATTTCTTCTTTTTTTTTGTAAGCACATAGATTCAAAGTTAAAAAAAAAACACTCCAAAAATACTTTTTTTTGTTTGGGTAATTCAATGGAGAAGATAGGCCCCTATCCTTTTTTTCAAGTAGATTGAGAGTTAGCTTTTTGAAAGTAATAGCGGGGTGATATTAGTCATGGGAATGGTACTTCATATACATACTTGAGTGATGACATCGAAGATTTGGGGCTTTCCATAGTGAACATTGCTTCGCGGCTTGCTGTAGGAGGCAATGATAGGTGTAGTTTGAATGCCCTAACTTCGGCTCACCATTGGTTCTTTCAAAGGGGTTTGAATGCTAGTTCGAACCGCTAATTGTCTAATATACCAAAATTTTGGTCTGAGGTTGCAAACACTGGATTGTCTTTAAAAGCAGTTCCATACTATAAATATCAAACTCATAATTACGTGAATACATTTAGCCCCGATATTTTCAATATTGGTCATACTTTTAAGAGAGACAAGAGTCTATCCGATATTTCAAATACCAAACAACCTACATCTAATTTTGATGTTTGAAATATAAAACGAACATATACCCCAAATAAAATAAAAACATGTAAATTCAGTCTAATATTATAAATACTGCACTTTGGAAAAAAAAAAAAGAAGAGAGAGTGGGATGTTTTAAAAAAGCACCAGTTTGTAAATATCAAGAACAATGTACCTCCACAGCGATTCTCCATAAAACGGAACCAATCCATAATTATCATATTAAAAATATTAAGATATAAATATGGTAAAAACGTAATTTTTCCCCAAAAAGATCCTCCAGGACCATCTCATAGATATTTCAGGGCAATGGATGCGCATAGCTTTGGGTGTTTTGTGAACAACAATTTTCAGATATTTTCCAAGAAAATAAATATTTAGAGATATTTGAGGGCCAAATATGTCACAAAGCTTTTGGGCGTTTTTGCCATTTTAGAATTATCCAAGGGCATTTTAATCAATTTCGTTCCTTTATATGAAGACCGTAACCGATAGGCTCGCTCTCTTTGGTCGCGCGATCCTGGTTTCTTCAAGGTGTAGCCGTCACTTCTTTTCGGCGGTGGTTTGGGATACGGCTTTTTGCAGGTTTGTGCCGGAAAATTCATTTTTTTTCATTTTCCGGTCAGTTTACGACCATCTTAGAATGGAAATTTCATTCGAATGGCTTATCAAGAAGGATTGTTCTGAAAGCCCTAGAAAACAGTACAGATTTGAGTCGAATAGGTTTTCAATGGTAAAATAGGTATTCGAACCATGAAACGATTTAATATGTGTTTACTGTGGCTTCTGGGAGCTAAAATCTGGGGTTTTATGTTGGAAATGGGTAAAGAGGGGCTTAGAGGATTGAAAACCTAAAAAAGATGATGGGGAACGGTGATTTAGTTTCTTTGTCAGGGGTTGTTTTATTATGACAGTTGTTGGATTAGGGTTTTATTGTGAGTTTGATTCTTAAAGGGGATGATTGATATTGATGTGGGTCTTTTTCTTGGTCAGGTTAACGAGTGTGTGTTGATATGCATATGATATCCGTTACTTAGGGGCTTTTTTCAGGGTGATAATGGTATTATGTTCATATGTGACTATCATAAATTTGAGGACATGAGTAATTTTGGAGCAGTGGAGGCCTTTATTCGATTGAGGCATGTCTACATCTGATGTTAGAACATGGGGTTAATCTCGCACTGAAACATTTTGGGGAAAGGTTTTTATTGCTACTGCTATTGCTGTTTTTAGGGTTTCTTGTTCTTGGATAGTGTTGTTGGAGTTAGGCTTTCTTTTAAATTGTTGTTGCTGTTAGGTTGAGTGGTCTGTAAAGCAGTGGAACATTGCGGAACAAACCGGGTGATTTTGGGTGGCTTTGACTTTCTAGTTTCTACATTATTCTTGAAATTTTCGTCTTGACTCTATTGTGGGGTTGGGAGTTTCCACATTGACAAATGCTGTTGGGTGGGAGAGTTTTCATATTCACCAAATTGTTGGGTTGGGAGGTTTGCTGATTGCTTCTATAGTTGGTGTATTAGAATTTCATCTTATTTTTTCTTTGAATGTTGTTGAGAATAGAAACCGGTTTGTGTTGCAGTGGAGTGTCAAAGTGGTGGTTGGTTGGTTATATGGGTGGGGTTGGGCTGTTGTATTTGGAGATGATGATGATGATGATGGATTGGACTCATGGGTTGTGGTTTGGGTTTACGTTGTTGGTGTGGACAGGGAGAAGGAAAAGTTGGTTGGTGGTTTCATCGAGTGTGTGTTCTTTGAAGGAGTATGAGTCCGGATAGCAGCAGCCCTCCAAGGTCGCGACGTTTCCGTAGCAGTGAGAGAATGTCTTACCGTGATGCACCTTACAGGAGGGATCGACGAGGTTCTCGGTGAGCCAGCCTTTTTTATATTAATTCATTGATTATTTTTATTGCAACATGATTACCTTTATTATTGTGATTATTGTCACTGGTATCACATGGCTATACAATATTGTTGTTTAGTTCACTTGTTCTCATGCAGGCCTAATCAAATTTGTTCATGAGATATTTGGTTCAATTCATGCATTTTTCGTTTGCTTCTTTCTGTGAGAACTTTTGTGTCAACTGAGTAGTTTTCTTGGGAACTCCGTACCATATGCATGCACTTACAGTGACTCTTCAACAAGATCATTACTTTTCATGGATTTGTGTGTTTTGGTGCCTTTTAACATCTGGTGGATGTAGTAGATATTTGGTTCTTAGGGATTTGGTATGGAATTTGTTCCCTTTTGCCTTTCTGTTTCTAATTATTCCAATTTTTTTTGTTGTCTTGGATATTCTTGTTCTCTTATTAACATGGAGTCAATAATTGAATTGCTTTCTTATCCTTCGCTCCATGTAGCTTTTCAAAAAACCAGGTGAGTTTTTTCTATATTATAAGTGGATAAGCAAAGTATCAAATTTTTTTTGGACATTGCTAACATGGCTCCTATTTCCAAATATAATGGGAGTGAAAGATCCACCTTTAATTTTTTGGATCTGCCTATGTTTGGTGCCTTAGGGCAATCGCTAAGACAACTTTATATCAGAGTGACATCATATGTTTCAATTGTCTCAGAAATCAGAAGCTACTTCCGTCTCTTTAGTCAATTTTTATGAAGCTGATTGTTTTGGCCATTTGTTCTACTTGTATTTGGTTACTACGGTGCCATAGTTTGTGTTTTTGTCTACAATCATTACTTCTTGCGTCAAAGACAATTGACACATTGTTTTAGATGAGTTAAAGATGCTTCTTAGCAGATAGCATTATCAGGGGTGTCTTTCTAAAATCTTGTAAATGGAAAACATTAGTAGACGGGAGAGATGGAATTGAAATAGTGTCATGTATGGATTCTCATGCTTCTAGGCTAAGATCTATTACCCTCTTGGTTTGCATCTGGGGTGCCGACGTCTTAAAACTTTTGCAGTTTTTCATTTGAAAGAAGGTATTACCACTTTTTTCATACTGAGTAGTCATTACATGTTTTTTATTCTGTATTTGTTTTTCTCATAAAAAATTAGTGGGCATTATATCTCTTCTTTATTAAAAAATAAGGCAGATTCTTGATTTTTAATGCCATGCCCCTTACTTTACTTTGTGGTTCATGTATTAAGAGAGAGGAAGACTGTTTTATTTGGCCTGGTTTCTGATTTTTATTCACTTTTGGATGTGTAGTTTATTTTGGAAGAGAGCTGCCCACAAGTAGAATTCACTCCATCATTCCTCCCTGCCTCCTAATTCTATTGTGCTTCTGCCTTAGGTTTATAAGAACATACTCTTTTCTTATTCTGTGATATTTTCATATTGTAGTTTTCTCCTTTCTTATTCCAGCCTATTCTTTCCGAAGTTTGTATTTTGTATTGTTGATAGTGATGCCCCCAGAATGTCATTAAATAGCGTTGAGTTGAGTGCCCATTGAACTTCCTGGTACTACAAAGATTTTGGGATTTGAATAGTTTGGTTATTATCTGGCTGTCATATTGAGGGGAAGTGAATATCCGAGGTGGATAGTCTAAGTGTTCAACTAATTTGACTGTGTGCTCCCACTTCTGTAATTATTACTGTCTTAGCAATACAATGTTAACAGTTCTCAAAAAAAAGAAAATTTTTTACTGTGTGTGACAGGGAGATTCCAAGTGTGGGATATTTTTGTGTATTTTATGAGGCTATAGGGTTAAGTTATATTTGATCTGGATAAAGCTTTTATTATTTACCAAAATAAGTGATGAAGTCCTTTTCCTTTTGCTTTTACTGTGATATATATGAGTTCAAAAGATCATTTGAATCTTTGAATTTTTCTGATTCCATTTTTGTTTTGATATCATGTATTCTGTTATTAAAACATTCTTTACCGATGCTGATCTCTTCCTATATTTAATTCCTTTATGATGTCTCTATCGTTGATTATGTTTTCCAGTAACTTTTTGCCTTTTATTTTACTCTCAATTACTAGTAGATTGAGGAAAAATGATGTTTTTTTTTTTGGCACACATCTGCTTACCTCTCCCATCTTTTAATATTGTATGAATCAGTATTTGAAGAGTCGCTGACCCGACTCAGATTTAGTCGAGTTACTCGGTCTTGGCAGGGTGCCTAGGTGAGTTTTGGTGTACAAACTGGCTTTTATAAAAATGATATTATTTGGATATAAATTACTAAATCACTAGTAAATGATGTATAAAAATATTTCTATATAATTTGTATGTCCTTTGTGATTTTTTGTTAATTTTTTGTTATCTGCTATATGTTTCTATATTTGTCTTTTTTGGATTTCTATTTAGATTGTTTCAAGGTATAAATGAAAATTTCCAAATTTGATCTTCTATGTGCTTTTCTCCATCTTGTACATGCTTTTTACAACTTTTGCTTTTTGCTTCGTAGCAATTTTTTGGTATTTTATTTTGCAATTTTCAGTTCTTTTTGGGCTTGTATGTGACTTGGGAAAGTCCACTCGGACTAGGCTGAGTTACTTGGCTCGGGCAGGGGCCGAGTCCCAAGCCTGAGCCAAGTTTTTTAGCATTGGTGTGGATGGCATTCTCTCTTGCACAGTAAGAATGAATGTGCTGTATGTATTGGATATTTTTCCTCTACCTTTTATTTGAGCTGCGTGATTAGATGCTGGTATATGTGTCACTTCTGCGCAGATCAAATTTTGAGTTGATTGTTACCCAATTTTTACAATTTATGTTTGGTTACTGGTTTTCAGGGTTTTCAGTTCACTATGTTACAGATCTTGTGCGTATTATGCTATGAATTGAGGCACATTGTATATATTCATGTATACAAGTTATGCTCTTAGAAGATTGCAGTACTCACATTCCTTTTTTCTAGATTTCTTTTCTAGAAGGGAGAGTGGAATGGCAATAGTGTGGAATATTTGCCATGCCTTAGTTAACCTTCTTAAATTTAATTCTTGGAGTACCTTCTATGGTTTAAGATGGTTCGTCTTAATTGTTGGCCAAGCTCTTGTTTTCCTCTTGGTTTGCATCCAATGGTACCCACATTTTAATTCTTGCACATTAAGAATGAATGTGCTGTATTTATTGGAGATTTTCTGTCTACCTTTTGTTTGAGCTGCATGATTAGATGCTGGTATATGTGTCACTTCTGGGCAGATGTTGATTGTTGCCCAATTTTTACTATTTATGTTTGGTTAGTGGTTTTCAGTTCACTATTTTTCAGATCTTGTGTGTATTATTATGCCTTGGGTTAAGGTACATTGTATATATTCATGTATACAAGTTATGCTTCTTAGAAGATTGCAGTGCTCACGTTCCTTTTTTCTATATTTCTTTCAAAATAAGTATTTCTAGAAGGGAGAGTGGAATGACAATAGTGTGGAATATTTGCCATGCCTTAGTTAACCTTCTTAAATTTAATTCTTGGGGTACCTTATATGGTTTAAGATGGTTCATCTTAATTGTTGGCCAAGCTCATGTATACAAGTTATACTTCTTAGAAGATTGCAGTGCTCATGTTCCTTTTTTCTATATTTCTTTCAAAAGAAGTATTTCTAGAAGGGAGAGTGGAATGGCAATAGTGTGGAATATTTGCCATGCCTTAGTTAACCTTCTTAAATTTAATTCTTGGGGTACCTTATATGGTTTAAGATGGTTTGTCTTAATTGTTGGCCAAGCTCTTGTTTTCCTCTTGGTTTGCATCCAATGGTACCCACATTTTAATTCTGTGTGTATTGGAGATTTTCCGTCTACCTTTTATTTGATCTGCGTGATTAGATGCTGGTATATGTGTCACTTCTGCGCAGATCAAATTTTGAGTTGATTGTTTCCCATTTTTACTATTTATGTTTGGTTAGTGGTTTTCAGTTCACTATTTTGCAGATCTTGTGTATATTATGCTATGGGTGGGGGCACATTGTATATATTCATGTAAACAAGTTATGCTTCTTAAAAGATTGAAGTACTGATGTTCCTCTTTTCTATATTTCTTTCAAAAGAAATATTTCTAGAAGGGAAAGTGGAATGGCAATAGTGCGGAATATTTGCCATGCCTTAGTTAACCTTCTTAAATTTAATTGTTGTGGTAACTTTTATAGTTTAAGATGGTTTGTCTTAATTGTTGGCCAATCTCTTGATTTCCTCTTGGTTTGCATCCAATGGTGCCAACATGTTAATTACTTATTTTAACGCAATTTCATTTTAATGACTTATTTTAACACAATTTCAAATTGTTTATCCCAGTTTTAGTTTGGAGTTTGGACAAATTAATTTGAGATGATCAAGTATGTCTGAAGTTTGAACACATGGCCATGTTGTCTATGTTTATGGAATTTCTGTTTTTTGTTCAACTCTGTTTTATGGAAACAACTGATTTGCTTATCAAAGGGTATGTCTTTGGATGCCTTTGTTTCGTTGTGGGTATATCCAAAGGTTTGTTTTTTCAGTTATAGATTGTACTCGTTTATTTTAAATTGTTCACGTTCTTGATTGTATCAGTATCTTACTCATCCCTAAACCAAGCTTTGAGCCTCTTCTCAGTATGCTCGTGGCATTACTGGGGAGTGTATTTTTTATTTACGTTCTGCTAAAATCAATAGATCATGTCAAGAAGGGAGAGTGGGAAGGCAGTAGTGTGGAATATATGCCATCCCTTAGTTAACCTTCTTAAATTGATTTTTTTGGTACCTTCAATGGTTCATCTTAATTGTAGGCCTGGATCTCTTTACTCTCTGGGCTTGCATCTGTTGGTGCCCACATATTAAGTTGGATGGTTTTTTAACCAGATTATTATAACTCATTTTTCTTAGTTTCATGCTATACCTATTTAATAAAACTGATATTCAAATGATGACTACACTTATGGGGAGGACCAAACTGTTTTCATGTTTCTATGAACTCCCAAAAGCCCATATTTTTGGTAAGGAAAATTGTTTCATACTGGCTGGAGCGCATTTCTAGATATGCGTTCCAGAAAGTGTAAAACATCCATCTTAAAGATGGATGCAAGTAGGTGTTCCATCTGAAAACAATGGAAACTAACGGTCCAAATGTTTTCTTATTAGAATTATTATTTTTAGTCTTTAAAATTTATTTATTTTTTCATATTCTTAATCTCTATGTTAAAGATTACATGTCCTTAAAAATTAAGTCTTAAAATCCATCTCAAAAATAAATTTATTAGGAGGCCCGCATTTCTACATATGCGGGCTTGACCTCATAGAAACCGGGTCCTTTTGATAATGCTTATATAACTTTGGTATTTCCTGATAAAATGGTGTTAGGAAATTGTGTGCATGTTAGGCAGTGGCTCTGCTGATCATCAAAGCATAATCAAGATGCACATTTTCAGTTCAATTACTTGTTTTGGTCTCACTGTTCCCATCTCTTGATTTCATGCTAGTTTTTTTGGCAAGTTTTAAGTTGCTTCTTGGCCGATTTTCTGATTATTGATCTTCTTCTAAAGGGGAGAAAATGCTGAGGAATGCAATTTGTCTCTCAGTGCCTGATAGTTTGTCCAACTATGGTGATTTATGTATTTTAACAGCGAGTTTAAAAGGAACTACCTGAACCAAATAATATGGATCTTTTAGGACTAAAAATATATGAACAATTCCCAGCTTGTTTATTTGTATGCGAAAAGGATGCATAACTTCTTGTCAGATAATGAAATTTTCATCAGCATAGGAGGGAACATGTTGCAATATGCGTTTTGCCTACATAAGATAGGTCTAGTGATTTGTGATTTTTTTAATAACGGGTGAGCATGTGGCAGAATGGCCCACAACTCTGGCTTAGACTCTCTCTCTCTCTCTTTGTGTTCTTTTTAGACTGGTTCTCATGCATTTCTAATCTTTTGATGTTCTTTGAATGTATTAGGGATAACCTGTGTAAAAATTGCAAGCGACCTGGCCATTTTGCAAGAGATTGCTCCAATTTGGCTGTCTGTAATAACTGTGGCCTTCCTGGGTAAGATCCTTAACCTCTTTTACTGGTGAATCTCTTATATGCACACACATCTGATCACACAGTGTACCTCTTCTTACTCATTACCTTGTTGTTTGTCTATCACACATGCATGCATTTCCATATCTCGTTGTGCACTGCATTAATTTTCCAATGTCTATTCATCTCTCCCACTGTCTGCTTCAGCATGCTTTCACAAATACACTCACACATGCTTAATTGTGCTACCACGCACACCTCAGTTTGAGCTTTGTTAGCATCCTGAAAATCTTATGCATGTAAATAATTTGTAATCTATTACATAGTTTTACTTATATAAAGCCAGATAGGTACTCTGTTGGCTCAAACACACACTCTGGAGTGTGCTATCATACATACCGTTAGTTGTATCATCAGTTCTCATGATTGTACGATACTCTGTTATTTGTCACAGTTAATTTTTCAATGGACTTCTTTTTATTGATTGCTATGCACTAATGAGTCTCCTGCATAAAGCTTGGGTGTTTATAATGCCGACTCTGATTGTATTGGTCAAATCATCTATGCTTTATGCAGGCTCTGTTAAATAACAAAAAGGGCCTGAACAAAAAAAGGAGTCCCCAGTGGTATGTTAATGTTTGAAATGGTTGAAAGCTGTAGATGAAGTTTGCCGTATGGAAATTATGAGGCATATTCCATGTACATGCACAGGTTGTTCATTCACCATCGCATCTAGGTATATAGTCAAGAAATTCACACGAACACACATGCATGAACACATAACTATATTACAAAAATGCTTCTCCTTGTCACAAATTCACCATGATGACTGTCTTACCGTACCTCATTCTCATGTTATTATTTCTAAACCCAATTGATGATTACTCTCACACTAGACTCTACGATGGCACAGAATGGAAGGACCAGTCTCATGCACGTCCATGTATCTTTGCATGACAGATGTATATGATCCACAAACCCGCATGCACATTGGCAAAACACATACCATGTAGAGAAGTATAAGTGCACCACCCATGAATATCAACAAAAAATGCATATTCTTCTATATCTCATACAAATTTACTGTTGTCTCATGGTATTACTTTTTGGAACCTTTTGATGATTATCCTCAGATATACCAACACAGAAAATAAGGGAAAATATCATTCAAGGTCAGAACCCCTTACAAATTCATAATGGGGGGTCAAAATATCCCAATTAACATTAGAGGGTTTGCTTTTAATTTTTCATTTCACTTAGGTCCTTCCTCAAAAAGTATTCTAAACAATATCCACATTGCCTTTGTTCAGGATGGAAACTTCAATTAGGGTAATTTCAGTAATTCGATCCCCCTTGAACAAGCAAGGCTACTCCATCATTTGATTGGGGCCTCTTTGGTGGGTATAATCCCTACAAATCTCTTAGTTCTACAGGGTTCTGAATGCTGAATGGGGGCAATATGGGCATTTGATAGAATATCTATCATAGGGGTATACCGGTATGGGTACCTGAGTGAAATGCAAATCGAAAAGTAAATCCTTTAGTGTACCTTCTTAATGGTTTTGTAAGGAGTTGTGACCCCCTAAATGATATTTTCCTAAAGAAGAAAAAAAAGACAGCTCTTGAACTTTGTTAAAAGAAAAGGGCGACTCTCTTACATGAACATGCATCTTGACATGTTGGATATGGAGGTACTATGAATAGAAGATGTGTCATGCATGATGCTCGCTAATATGTATGTGACCATGCTTTGTTCCCTAACATTCAGTCATATTGCATCCGAGTGCACCACCAAGACGCTATGCTGGAACTGCCGCGAACCTGGGCATGTTGCGAGTGAGTGCTCAAATGAGCCCATTTGTCACACGTGCGGCAAGGTTGGCCACCTTGCGCGGGAGTGCTCCGGCCCTGGCCTCCCCTCAGGTGATACCCGCTTATGCAACAATTGCTACAAGCAAGGCCACATTGCTGCCGATTGCACCAATGAGAAGGCTTGCAACAACTGTCGGAAGACAGGCCACTTGGCTCGCGATTGCCCTAATGACCCCGTGTGCAATGTCTGCAACGTGGCTGGCCATGTGGCAAGGCAGTGCCCTAAGGCAGGGTTAAATGATGGTGGGGGTTTTCGTGATGGTGGGGCTTTTCGTGATGTGATCTGTCGCACTTGTAACCAGCCCGGCCATATCAGTAGAGATTGTGTTGGTGTTGTCATATGCAACAATTGCGGAGGGCGTGGGCACATGGCATACGAGTGCCCTTCAGGAAGGTACATGGATCGTGGGATGCGGAGGTACTAATGATTAGAGCTATGCTCTTCCCTTTTTTTCTTTTTATTTTTTTTCTCGGTATACTAGCTATTCTTCTTTCCCTTTCTTTTCATTACCTTATACTCCTATGAAATTACTCTGCGCTGGTGGAAACTTTTAGATTGAGGATGTGGGTGTCTTTTTCTATTTTTTGTGTTGTTTTCTGTTTTTTACTCCCCCAACATCTGGTGGAAGTTTTTGTGAATTTGGAATGTGGATTTGGATTTTTGTAATTTGGTGGTTTTGACTCGCCCTTGAAATTTATACTGAAGGTTATAGAGTGGCAATCTGAATTGATAATGTGGTGTGCCTCGTTAAACCTGTGGTCAAAGCTTTTTAAGGTGGACAGGGTGGGAATAATGTGATAAACTGTCGTTTGAAAATAACGGCTGTTATACATTCAATTGGGAGTCATATCTCGTTCTAGCTTTCTGTTAGGTATTGAGAATATGTGATGCTTTCTTTGCTGCTATTGGCTTATCACTTAAGGTGACAATCACACTCAGAAAAGTTAGGGGTGTGGTACTAAGTTTGATATAAAAATGAGAATTGAGATTGTCGTAGGTGTTTATGGGAAATCATGCGGTTAGAGTTTTGCTATAAAGTTCGATAAATGAGAAGTGAGACTTTGACTTTAGGTTTTAAGCTGTGTTTAAGTAGCAATGTTTGAGGGTAATTTGTTTCTCGGAGTTGTGTGGCAACTGGCAAGCACTATATTGTAAATTTTATTTTCATTTGAGTGGTAAGAATGCTCTAGTATGGAAGCACGCGTTTGGTGTTGATTTGCTGATTTTTTTTTATTTTAAGAAAAATATCTGGTACCCCCTAAAGCCTTATTAGTTTGATGTTCCAACCCCTATAATTCTTTTTTTGTTAGGCAGCATTAGAAGGTCACAAAGTTTTTCTTCCAGCCCTCTCCTAACCTACCTATCACCCGACTGTTTGATTCTTAATTTTGTTACAAATTTCACTATCAATGGCTGTTATCTTCTATTTTAGTGCACCTTTGGCCTTTGCCTTGCTCCTCTCTTCTTTGAAACCGCAACAATATTTTTTGTTGTGGCAAGCGGATTACATTGATTTACAAGAAATATGAAGATGAGAAAGAAGAAGAATTTGAAAAAAGAATGCAGAAGAAAATGCAGACGTAGAGGAATTGAAACAGACAAATGTGAAGGAGAATTTGAAAAAAGAACGCACAAGAGAATGAAGACGTAGAAAACTAAGACTTAGAACTCTAAGGCTCGAACTTAGAGTGAGGTTTTGATTTTTTGATGGTTTTATTTTAAATCAAAATTTTTTAGTAAGGTCTTGTTCCACAATTTTATTATAATTTTAGTTTTGATTAAAGTCGAGATACAAAGCTACTTTTATGTTTTGGTGTAGGTCCAGAGGCTTCCAATCTAATTTTTGAAGAGTTATAGAATTTTTTAAAATTGATTTTTGTCCACCATTTAGGATATTTTGGAAAATATGTCACTAGGTAAGACTTGTTTAGTTTTTTCATAGAGACAGCCTCTTTTGATTTTTTCGAAAAAGGGATCACCTGTTTAATGATCAAGGAGTTGTGAAATCTCAAAAAAAGAATTTATCTTGTCAAAAGAAAAATCTTCATTCCAGTCCATATGTTTAAAGAATAAAAATATTTTCTCTTTGAGCTTTTCAAAATTACAACTCTTATTGATTATTAAGTCAGAGAGTGAACTCATGTGTTTACGAAATTGGGTTTTGTTTTATAAGATATGGTTTTTCCATATCTGATCTAATTTTTCATAAATATTAAAAAGGATATCAGAGTTTATAAAAAAACTAGGAACTTGTTTAGTTTCTACAGGGAAGTTTTGATGAAAATCTTTTTGTAATTCTAAAACTTCTTTGTAAGAATTTTTTTTTGAATTTTGGGTTTGAGCAAATTGATTATTTACTCGAAATCATTCGTTGTCCTCTTGGTTTAGGAGTGAGCGCTTTTCTTTGTCGACTGATCCTTGTTTAAGATAAGACTAATTCTTGTTTACTATTTCCTCTGTCGATGGATCTTTGTTTAGGATTTTGTCTTCGTTTGTTGACGGATCTTTAGTTAGGATTTCGTCTTTATCTGTCCATCTTCCCTGCTAAAAAAGTCAGTTAGGATATTGTTAGCACCTTTGATAAATTAAACAGTAAAAGTATACATTTGCAAAAGGTTCATCCATTTTATGCAACGAGGGTTTTTCTCCTGCTTTTTATTGGACATGAAGTCTTTGACTGCTTTATTATATGTTTTGATAATAAATTTTTTGGCGTAAGGTATATGTGAAAGCTTTTTACTTCACGTATAACTGTCAGTAATTCTTTTTCGTAGATCATGTAATTCTATTTGTTTGGTTTAAACTTTACGGAATTGTATCCACATACAAGCTCTTTTGCTTCAATGTTAGCCTTTAAGACGGCTCCCCAATTTTCATCTGAGGTGTCGGTCTCAAGGATTGGTTTATCTTTTTGTTTAGAAAAATAAATTGAAGGAATATTTTTTCAATTTTGCTTTGATACGTTTGACAGTCTGTATCTTCTGTATCTAAGAGCAATTCTTAATCCTCTTTTAATTTTTCCAAAAGAGGTCTCTCGTTTTTAGAAAGGTTTGGAATAAAATTTCTCCCATAATTAAGGATACCTAAGAAGCCTTGTAGATGTTTTTTTATCTACAAGCTCATTTGAAAAATTCCTAATTTTAGAAATGATGTGTTCCTGAAGTCTTATACCTGTTTGGTCTTAAGACGATGCCTAAAAATTTGATCGAGGTTTTCTCAATCTCGATTTTCTTGGGATTTAAAATGATTCCATAATCAAGAAATTTTCTATAAATCATTTTGAGATGATTTTGGTGTTCCTCTAGGGTCTTAGAAAATACTAAAATGTCATCTATGTATACAACACAAAAATCTTTTAAATCTTTTAAATCTAAAAAAATATCATCCATTCATCTCTGAAATATCTGCAGTGCATTGCAGGAGTCCAACTGCCATTACTTTCCATTGATATTGGTTGTATGGAACACTGAAAGCAGTTAGTGGTCTGGATTCTTCTGCTAGCATGATTTGCCTGAATCTTGACTTGCAGTCAAACTTACTAAAATATTTTGCTCCTTTGGTTTGATGTGGTCTGGATTCTTCTGCTAGCATGACTTGTCAGAATCTTGACTTGCAGTCAAACTTACTAAAATATTTTTCTCCTTTACTTTGACATCATTTCTGGGTATAAAATACCATCAAACTCAATATTTTGGTTAAGCCTTTGATAGTTGATTACCATCTTGGCTTTACCTCGTTTTTAGTCAATATAGTTTCTTACCATCAAGGCAGGACCAGAATGATGATTTGTTGTTGGTTCAATCAAGCCTTTTTCTAGTAATTTTTTTAACTGAATAGCAAATTCATGAATATCTTTTTTGAGATAGACCATGGGTTTTACTCTGATGATCATGTTTAGATAAGAGAGTTTGAGGCTACAATAATTTTGAATTTTTGGACCATAATTTGAAAGGATTTTCAGAGAAATTTGGTTCAAGTGTTTTGTAAATCCAATAGGTAACGTCTAGCTCTTTCAAAAAGCTATTTTTTATTTTCTGAAATTTTTGTATGGTTTCTCCCTGCTTTTGAGGTAAGAATCCAAATTGACATCTATACTTATGCTTTATAAATATAGGTATATCAACTTTATTTCATTTTTGAGTTAAAGTTATTTTATCTAAAAAGATTTCAATTGGGTAATGGTTTTGGAAAAAGTTATTTTCGAAAATAAAATCTCCATGCATAAATGGAAAACAAAGTATCTTTGGGATGTAAAATTTTTTATTTTCCAGCCAGATAGCAATTTTTTGGCTTTATACTCTATAAGAGTATTGTTCCCATCGATGCCGGTTGCATGTAATGGGCTTTTCATTCGTTCCCATTTTTCTCCCAAAACAAACAAATATTTTTTCCTTTTTTGGTTGTGTGAGAAGATTATTTCTTCCCCATCTTGAAATTCGATTTTTGAAAATAAAACAGTTTTTTGAAGTTCTTCTTTTTCTTCATTTTTTGTATTATTGGTGTTTCCAGTTTCAAAAGTGCTTGACAGTCTAGGGAAAATTGGTATCGTGATGTTTTTTAGACCGATTGGTTTTCTGCCTAAAGATAAGTCTTGTGGTGTAGGACTTCTTGGTGCATGACTGTTTGGTATTGTTTGACTCAGACTTTTGGTTAGAGTTCTTTGGTCAGAAAAATAATTGTTTTTCTCAGATGCTTGAAAAGTTACTGGTTGTCATTTTTTTCAAAAAAACTATCAATCAACCAATTTCTGGGAATTTCTAAATCCTTCCAGTTGATTAACTGGGGTTGGATTTTGTTGTCAAAATTTCTTGGTTTGAAAATTTCAACAAATTTGTTATCAATATTTTTTGTTGTTGCAAGCGGATTACATTGATTTACAAAGAATAGACAAATATGTCTATTCTTTAAGAGCAAATCCCCTTCTATTTCTTGAGTTCAAGCTCTTTTAAAGGTTTCAAAATGAAGCCAGTAGAAAAATGGGAACTGGACCAGACCTGCACTCATTACGGGTCAGTTAAAATGGACCTTGACTTGACTTGCACGGTCCAAGTTTTGGACACATACCCAGACCCGGGTTGGGTCTACTCTATGGGTCACGGGTCGGGTTGGGGTCTATTGCTAGGCCTTAGATAAAGGTACAATGAGATTTGGGGAAAAAAGCCAATTCAAAATTGTCGAATTTTCAAAGTTCGAAAATTGGGTTAATATTTGGATTTGGTAAATCCCCAAAATCGAAGTTTTGGAAAAAAAAAATTTAAAAATGCATAGTGGGTGCACATGTAATAACGGGAATATTTTAGGTAGAATGTAAATAACAAAAATAAAAAAGGATACAAGTGTAATTTTCTCAAGGTTTTATATATATATATATATATATATATATATATTTTAACAAATCTTCCAAGATTTTATTAATAACTAAAGAAAATAAATTACACTAGAGGAGATAACAAGAGAATGCAGGGAAGCACCCCCTTTAGCCAAGGAGTCAACCAACGAATTAGTTTCCCAATAAACATGAGAGAATGAAACTGTCAAAGGGTCTACCAAATCCATGACCTGCAACCAAAGGGAACAAAATTCCCAAGCAACTCGCTGATCCTTTTTGCACTATTTAATAACATTCAAAGAGTGCCCTTCAATCCAACAGTTTCTACCAAGATTCTTCTCAATCATAATTTTCACCCCACTCAAAAGAGCACTTAATTCAGCAAAATCCACAGTTTTAACCCC